AAGTGGTGTACCTCTTTCAAATTGATTTGTTGGGTGGGAAGATGTCTTCCAAAAATACTAACGATTATTCTCCATCAGTGGTCTAGGGAGCATCTCAACCAAACTGAATTCTTTTGCTAGACATATTTTGCTACAGAAATTTTCTATTTGTAAAACAATCCCATATCCATTACCTTGTTTGATCCTCACAGCAAGAGCTGCAACCCTCATCCATTTCCCATCTATCAGATCTCTGTGCAGATATCTATCTGCTGCATCCTACTAGGTGGTAGACATGGAGTTATGTGGGGACCCAAAAGACATGTATCCCCTCTTCCACTATTTGGAACACTGTGCTTCAAGAGATTGGGCTAAGACCACTAGATTTTGAATCCCAGCTCTTAATATCATTTAAGAAGAAAATGAAAAGATGTACCCCACTGGAATCCACCCAGCAAATGCACCCATCTCCCCCTTCTCTAATATCCAACAATATTTACACTCTAAACAGAAGTCATTTTACCTTGATACTGATACAGCTTGATCTTCAGGGCCCTTTGCCTGCATGGGCACCTTCCTAAGCCCTAAACCTTAGGAATGTGGTCCTGTGCTCTGGAAGATCCCAAAGGTTTTAGCTACAGTTGGTTGAGAACACTGTCTCTTTCCAGTCAAACTTCCTCTCCACCATAAGTCTTCTAGTGTCAGTTGGAGTTGGAGAGGCCATGGACAGTTTTGGGATCTGGGTAAAGACAGGTTGAATGTGGGCACATTCATTTTGAGGCTGGAGGGATGCATTAATGTATTTATAACCAATTCTGTGCGTAGTTGTATGCTTGCCATATTGATGGCTTGCAGAAATGATTTGAGGAATATTCCTCTTAACTCTATATCAATCTACCCCCAAGCAAACCATGAAACCACAAGGCCAGAGTCTCTATAGAGATATGCATGTGTCCAATGGCACCTTAAAAGGGTTGTAGAGAATTAAAATGGTTTGCAGTGTATGAAACTAGAAGCTAGTCTACAGAAATTCTTGCAGTCATTAGACATGTAAAATTATTAATGTAGAACAGGTTATTATTGATGTGTAGTCAAAATGGAAATCATCTCCCATAAGGAATATATTTAACATAAAACATACAATTATAAACATACCATACTTCCTTTTCCTTTTTGATGAGGAATAAAAGAAACAGAATGTATGAGAATTCATATGTTTGTAAGGCACAAATCTGTAGCAGTACGTCACTCAGCAAATTCATCTGAGTGTGAATTTGCATGTTTTATGCATGCTAGAGGAAGGATCTTTTCAGTCCCACTATAGAAAATGACATTATAAAATTGTTGATCAAAGAGAATGCAGGCCGAAGAAACAGTAGGAAAAAATGTACCATCGAGATGTGTCAGAATGTTAATTAATTTTAAAAATTGATTAATAAAATATGCTTTTTTTCCTAAGATATTTGTGATACTTGTCAGCTGTTTCAAATGTATATTTTTGGCGATTTCTTTTCTCATCCTAAGTAAATATTTACTTCCAATTCTAATTTTGTATACGTAATATATTCTTAAAGACAGCCTCCAAAGTTGTATAAGCTTGTATACAATCTGGAACCATCTCCAACCGGAACCTCACTCCCTATGCTGAACTCTAGTGTAAGGCTCCAGGGATGCATCTAATGCTACAGAGATAGAGACAAAAGAAAGACAATGGCCCTTGCATAGGGTAAAATTTAATATATTTGAAATGATCTATAGCAAAAAAAAAAAAAAAAAAGTCGCAGAAAGATAAGGTCAAGAAGTAGCAAGTAGGCAAGTGTGCTAAAGGGTAGCAGAAGAGTTAAGAGAATTATCCATGTGTTCATGGCTATCTATGTCTATATAACAGGTTTTAATACCTAAGTTGTAATTGGAAGATCAGTATCAGTGGTGGACAGTCTAAATACAGTGGATAGCCTATCCTTCCTCTACCCCTTTTCTGGAAGCACCTCTTCCCCTTACTTCCTATGATTATATTGAGAACAGATTGCCTAATTGCGGTAGAATGGTCCAGGAGTAGAAACTTGACCCAATTTGGACGAATTAGCTTTTCTCCTGGAAACCTGGAATCAGGACTAAGAGATTCCTGACTCATTCTGTTTAGTTTCTTGTGCAAAGGCATGGAAGTTCGGGAGTTATGGGAGGCCATTTTCTTTACTTTGGATTGGGGAGCAAAGCAAGCCAACAAGCTGCTCAGAAGAGAGACGGAAACAGATGAGAAAAAAAAGAGGAAATGCTCTTGGGAACATCTTGTCCCTGGTTCCCGTTCCCATCATTTTTTAGCTATAATTCACATGTTATAAAATGTGCCTTTTAAAACTCTACAATGCAGTGATTTTTAGTATATTCACAGAGTTTTGCAACAATCATGACTAATTTCAGAACATTTCCATCACCCCAAAAAGAAAATTCAGACTAATTAGCAGTCAATCCCCATTCTCCTCTCCCCTCAACCCCTGGCAACTACTAATCTACTTTTTGTCTCTATGAATTTGCCTACTCTGGACATTTTGTGTAAATAGGGTAATACAATGTATGGACCTAGCTTGTTCTTTTGCAACTGGCTTTTTTTTTTTTTTTTTTCACTTAACATGCTTGTTTTCACGGTCCATCCATGTCATAACGTGTGTCAGTCCTTCATTTCTTGTGTGGATATAACATGCCTTCTTATCTATTCACTTCATCCAGCTTTGAAGCCTGGGAATATCTTTTTTTTCTTTGTTTCCTAGAGAAAACTGTGCATCCTTCACATCCTGATATAAGTACTCCCTTTTGCTGAGGTCCACAGCAATTCACTTTGGTTTCTCCATTCGTCCTAAGTAATTAAGGAGGAACTGCCTAATAAGATTCCTGAAGGAGGTGAGGTCTTGAGCAGAGCCAGGAAAAAGAGAGCAAGGATTTAATAGTTGGAAAAGAAAAAGTAGAGGCAGGGGGGAAGGCCATTTAAGACTGTAAGGACAGAACTAGCAAAGATGTGAGCGGTGTCCTCAAGCCCTGGAGGAGAGTGGCTCACCCAGCACATGGGAAGTTGAGAACCGGGGTGACATGCGTGGAGAGATAGGATGGTGTCGGGATAAAGAACTACTAGGCATTCTGAGGTCCAAAAGTCAACTTCTCTCTATCTCTGTCAGTCTAGAGGGGGCATTTTCGTGGCACTACAAAATATGTTAGAATTGGAAATCACTGCCTTTTGAGTTCTCCTCCCCATTGGTAAGCTAAACCATAAAACCTTGACCTAAAACAAGCTAGTTGTTTCCCAAGTCCCCAGTGGTGGGAAAGCCAGGAACAAGAGTATGTGCCATTCCTAGGACCAGTTAGCCTATGCAGACCCACTGCCCTTTGAAGCAGGAGCAGAAGGGGCACCCTTACAAATCATCCACAACAGCTGGGACATAGAAATCTATATGTGGGGTGGAGCCCTCTCTGCTAATTGATAGCTGAGTGGCCTTTGATATTTGATTCGTTTCTCTGAACAATGTCCTATCTATATCTGTGTTTATCCTATTTTTGCTTGTTTGTTTTGGCTAAAACATCTCTCACTGGGTGGTGGTGGTGATCAAATGAGATATTGAGCTGTCTGTGAAAGGATGTTGTAGAACCTTCTACAGCTTTATTCCAATGTATAATTCCATTTGTCTATTGACCACAGATATTTACAGAAGGATCTTTATGAGGAAGACATAGGGTTGGAATTCACTGACAGAAAAAAAAAAATGGCCAGGCACAATGGCTCATGCCTGCAATCTCAGCAGTTTAGGAGGCTAAGGCGGGAAGATCGCTTGAGGCCAGGAGTTTGAGACCAGCCTGGGCATCATAGTGAGATTCCATCTTTTTTAAAAAAAATTATTATTATTTTGAGAGAGTCTCTCTCTCTCTCTGTTGCCTAGCCTGGAGTGCACTGGTGTGATCTCAGCTCACTGCAACCTCTGCCTCCTGGGTTCAAGTGATTCTACTGCCTCAGCCTTCTGAGTAGCTGGGATTACAGGTGCGTGCCACCATGCCCAACTAATTTTTGTGTTTTTAGTAGAGACAAGGTCACCATGTTGGCCAGGCTGGTCTCGAACTCCTAACCTCAGGTGATCCACCTGCCTCGGCCTCCCAAAGTGCTGGGATTACAGGTGTGAGCCACTATACCAGGCCTTTTTTTAAAAAATAAAATTAATTTTAAAAAATCAACATTTCATTTATTGACCAAATGGCAAATTGTTCCTGAAGATCTTTCCATACAATGGCTACATTCTAAAAGAAAACAAAAAATTACAGAAAATACATAATAGGCCTTCATTGTCCCATCTATCCAACTTTACCAGCCAAGGGGTGCCCCACGGCACCCTTGTAGATTCACACGCATATTGGTCTCTCTGTCCAGGCTCAGTTGGTGTGTGCTCTCTTGGTCTCTAGAAGGCATCTTGCAAAGTAGACAGACCTGACGTTTTACCCTCAGCCCAGTCCTGTGCTTTCACTCTTGCCTTATGTTTAAATGAAAAAGTGCAGGCCAAGAATAACCCAAAGTAATTGAGCGGATTTGCACCACGACATGCGGCACTGCCCACAGCTATACCTTACAATCACCCAATTCATATTTTAGGTTCTGACACCAGAGTTTGCAGTATTTTACAATTTTCTGTTCCATGTCAGCAGCTCACTGTACAGCTGAATATCAGTCCTATTTAAATCTGCAGGAAAATAGCTGCAGGTGACATAACCTTTCGTGTCGTACCACTGTGTACATACACAAATAATTGGGGCTCTTGACCCTGTCTGGGCCCATACAACTGTAAGTACAAACTTGACATTTTGATACTGCTGCTAGCCTTTCTCGTTGTTATTTTCTGTTTCAATAATCCATTGCAGGTAGAAAAATGAAAGAAGGAAGCATGAATGATTAATGCTGTCAAGCTAAAATAATGTATTTAGAAAAATCTATAAATCTGTTATTTGTGGCATTTTAAAACTGAACACGACACTCCTCGGTGCCATACCGCCTGTTTCCCGGTAGATGAATGTGAGTGTTTTGCAGCATAGGGTGGCCAGAGGCCTTTGGCTTCTGGCCTGAACCAGACCATGGACATCTTGGGATAAGTGCAGTGGGAACCTTGGGTTCTTCCTGTTCTCAAGGTCAGGAGCAGAAACCCACAGGATTCCTCCACAGTACACAGTGGTCTGTTTTGTGTTCCACACTAGGGTGAGGCTGGGCTTGGCCTGTCGCCGTTTCTGATTTGCCACTCTCAGGGGGCCGCTGTCCAGAGGGCCCAGGCAGCCAGCTGTCTCTTGCTCCAAGCCAATCTCTATTGGATTTAGTTCCAGCTCAGGCTGAAAGTTGATCAGGTTAAGCTCCTAGGAGGCTCCGCGCCGCTCCAGGCAGTCTGCTGAATGCTGATCCTAGAGCATGGCTCTGCTGTCCACACTGGCCACACACTGGAGTCTCCCAGCCTCTGGGACAGACAACAATTCCAGTCCTCTCACCTGGGAGTCCTCGGTTCTCTGAGGCTAAAAAGTGCCTCTACATGTGGAATAAGCTTCCAAGCTCTGACCATTCCACTCTGGCCAGAGGAGCTCTGGTTAAGAGAGTATAGGGCGTACAGAAGACATTTTAGACCTGAAATCAACTTGCCAATGACACCTTGGCAGCCCCAACTGATATAATCCACATATCTGTTAGGTTTACTTGGACAGTGGGTCAAATTTTTGCAGATAGTAGAAATAGCAATTAATGTCAACAGTGGGATTATTTGCAAATTTCAAACTGTTTAGCATCTGGTTAAAATGGTCGCACATCACACCTTGTATGACCCTGGAGCGAGAGTAGGAATTCTCTGGAGAAAACTTGGGCTGCTGGGAGAGGAGAGGGGATCTCCTGGAACACAGATGTCCCAGCAGAGTTTGGGTCCTCCGGGAATGAGGACTACACTGAGAGACAGGCATCCCTGGGATCTGCTGGCTGGAGGCTCAAGCTCCTCATTTCCCAGAGGCAATCTTGGCAGCCTTCACTGGCCAATACTGTTGCTGATTTCTATCCAATAAATGCAAGGCTCATCTTAAAGCAATCTAGCAAGGGGGACTGGGGGCACCCCAGGTGGTGGGGAAGGTCACAGACATTTTAGAGAGCAGCAGGCATCCTGCAGTGACCACGCTGCAAAGAACACTGGCCACATACAATGCAGAGGAGGCCTCGGGAGATCCTGGAAGCCACTCTCTGAAGTCCATGGACAGCTGTCTGCTGCCCTGCTGGGAGGCAGGTGTCAGGGAGGAGCCTACACACTGAGAACAGGATCAACAGGCTCTGGCTGCTTTCTCCTATCCAACAATAATGTGGCTCTCATTTGCCCCAAGTATCTCTGCCACAAAGGACTCCTTGCAAACACAGTCTCAGTGCCCAGCACTGTGACTGGCAGAGACTGGGGCTGGGGAAGGCAAGGCCCTTCCACTCCTTAACTGGGTTGGGCAAGCAGATTGCACCTGTAAGTCAGCCTTCTGCTTCCTCAGAGGCAGACCCAAGCCTGGTTCCACCCAAAATCCATTCAGGCAAAATTAATGGCAATGCCAGACCTCTCTCTGGGTCCATTGTATATATGCATCTGGCCAGCAGAGGAGAAATGGATTTTAATCCAGTTGTGTTTCTGTATTAGCAGGGCCTACAGATGCCCAATCTCTGTGAAGATGCTCGCTTCACTCAGGTGCTGGGCCTCAATAATTTAAAATTAACTCAACTCTCTCAGCATAAAAAGTAATGGCTCTGTCAGAACCCGAGTGCGGAATGCCTAATTTAGGATTTTACATGCTAATTCTGAATAAATGGAGGTGTCATGAGAAGGAAGGGTTCTCTTTTTAAGTGCATAAAGGCAGACCGTGAATTAGTGGAGACTATTAAAGTTACATCTTCAGTGCCTCAGGTTTCATGAATGCCAGACCCATAGGGGTTCTTTGAAAGCCTGTCACCTAGGGTCTCCCAGGGCAGAGACTTGGGTCTCTATTGAAAAGACAGACGCCGGGCGCGGTGGCTCAAGCCTGTAATCCCAGCACTTTGGGAGGCCGAGACGGGTGGATCACGAGGTCAGGAGATCGAGACCATCCTGGCTAACCCGGTGAAACCCCGTCTCTAGTAAAAAATACAAAAAACTAGCCGGGCGCCTGTAGTCCCAGCTACTCGGGAGGCTGAGGCAGGAGAATGGCGGGAACCCGGGAGGCGGAGCTTGCAGTGAGCTGAGATCCGGCCACTGCCCTCCAGTCTGGGTGACAGAGCGAGACTCCGTCTCAAAAAAAAAAAAAAAAAGAAAAGACAGACAATGTTTTCTTCCTGGAAACCTCTGATTTTGGGACTCAGAGTCCCCTCTCTGATATGGGCTAGAAGCCCCAGGTAGCATATGTTATTACAGCCCAAAGACCTCAGGCTGCTTCAGAGACCTTGACTGGTCCCAAAGACCTCAGGCTATGGGTACTCATGACAGTGGAAGAATCTGGGTCTTCCTGCCCTGTTGGGCTTTCCCATTGAGGGTCTACTTCTCAAAGAAGAATGCAGGGGGAGACTTGGGGCCCCAGTAGAGTTACGGAGCCTGGTGTGAGACTTCTGTGAATATCCCAGGTGACCCAAGGTAACTTGATGGAGATCTCTTTGTGTGTCCACAACTCATAAAATGCTCCCGCCATGGGTCCCATTCCAGGTCTGTCCCTGGCCCAGCAAGTACCTGAAGAAGCTCAGGGCAGAGGAGTGACTTCCCGGATCCTCAACTCGCCAGTGACATTTTGCCTGGGCTGTCTGGGACAGAGAGACTTGTAAATAAAGTCTCATCTCTCGGCTGTTTGGCTCCTCTGTGGGAATCCAGGGGCCCATAGCCTTGCCCCGTAGCTTGGCTTATCTGGGGCCCACATCCTTGCCCTGTAGCTTGGCTCGTCTGGGCTCTGACAGCCCAGGTTCTTTCTCCTTCTGAATGAAGCCCCAGGGCACTAGGCAGAGATTGGGTGGTGACAGTGGCTAGCATGGGCCTGACACCTTGTGGTTCCCAGAAACACATGCCCCCATGTGTGAAGCCTGTGTTCCAACCCAGCGTGGCCTACCCCACTTTCTTTTCACTGACATGGACAGCATGATGTCCTGCTGCAGGGCTGAGGGCTGCACGTGCAGAGGGGTGCCTGTGAAGAGACCTTTCCATACCACCTGCCCCTCCTGCCAGTGCTGGGGCATCTTTCGGAAGCTTCTGAGAGAGACCCTGTGAGGCAGAAAGAACAGAGTGTGGAGTGTCCCCAGAGGCAGCCTCTTTCCCTTCCCCCAGAGTATGGAACACTGAGTGGATCACACAGCCAGGTGGAGGCTCAGGGGGCTCCTCTCCATTCTGCTGTGGTTGGAAGGGTCTGTGTGAGATGAAGGTGGTGGAGCTGCCCTGTAACCCTCCACAGCTGACTTCTAGAGGTACCTGCAGAGAATTAAGGAAGTTCTGGTCATTTTCACATGTTCACTTAAAGAGAAGAAGTGGGGGCCGGGCGCAGTGACTCATGCCTATAATCCCTAATCCCAGCAATTTGAGAGGCCGAGGCAAGTGGATCACCTGAGGTCAGGAATTCTAGACCAGACTGCCCAACATAGTGAAAACCCATCTTTTCTAAGAATACAAAAAATTAACTGGGCATAGTGGCAGGTGCCTGTAATCCCAGCTATTCAGGACACTGAGGCAGGAGAATCACTTGAACTTGGGAGGTGGAGGTTGCCATGAGCTGAGATCGCACCACTGTACTCCAGCCTGAGTGACAAGAGCAAAACTCTGTCTCAAAAAAAAAAAAGAAGAAGAAGAATAAGAAGAAGTGGGATCAGTGTTTGGGTTCTTTTCACTCCTAACTGGACACAGAGGTACTTGCTGGCTCTTTAACTTCTTCGATGTACACAGACAGCTTGTTTTGTACCTCTTTCTCCTAAAGTAGACAGCAATAAATAAGATTCATGACAAACAGCTTCCTCCCCAGCCAGGGTCTATCTCTGCCTCCCCCTTTCCTTTCACTCTCTGGGATCCCAGTTCTGGCATTTGTCATGGGCCACTCATTGTGGGGTTTCTGTGAGGATATGCCTGTGATGCAGGCAAGCCCCCGCATTGGGGCTTAGCCCAGTAGGGTTCTTGGCTTCACCCAGGAAAGAATTCAAGAGCTAGCAGGTGGTCTTAGCAACTTTCATTGAAGCTCCAGTGTACAGAAGCAGCAGAGATACTTCTCCATGTGACGCAGGGCTACCCAGCAGGCAGTGTGCCCAGAGCGTCAACTCAGAGGCAGTTCTGCACTCATATTTATACCCACTTTTAATTGCGTGAAAATTAAGGGGCGATCTATGCAGAAATTTCTAGGAAAAGAATGGTAACTTCTGGGTCATTGGGTCATTGCCATGGAAAAGGGTGGAAACTTCCAGGTGTTGCCATGGCAATGGCAAACTGACAAGGCACATTAGTGGGTGTGTCTTATAGAAAGCTGCTTCTGCCCCAGCCCTTAGTCATCAATTTGGTCCAGTGTCTGATCCCTGCCTCCAAAGTCGAATCCCACCTGCTACCTCACCCATGCTCTCCTTGGCACTATGAGTGCCCTGTGGGCTGGGACCCTGACAGTTTATCTCTGTAGCCTCAAAGGCCAGGCTGTGGCTGCTCTATATCATCTGAAAATTAAATTCCTGCCGAAATCAATTGACACATCACATGGTTCCTAGGATAAGATTTACAAGCTTTGTTTCAGTTTTCCCTGGGAACAAAAAAAAAAAAAAGAAAACATTGGAATAACTGTTCCCTCAGTAGTTCCAGAATTTTTCTGTCTCAGAAGAGGAGGACATTTGAAAATGCCTACGAAGAAGATTCCATCTGCTTTCCTTTGCGGTAAATCCACCTGAATGGCCCTGAAGGGTGTGAATGGAAAGCACACACTCTCCCAGTGTTTTGGGGAAAGCAGAACTCACCATTGTTGGGAAAGCAGAGCTCGAGGTTTGTTCAGGGGAAGTAAATTGGCATTTGGGATCAATCCAGCACCGAATCTCAGAAGGTTTTGTTGCTCTAGGGGGAGTACAGCTTTTGTATTTTAGGATTTAGACAGGACAGTACTGATAAATGACTGAGTGGCAGGGATAAGCAATTGCTGGTGGATCATAGCTGGGTATGCTCCAACTGCAGGGAGCAGATGGTCAAAGAGGATTCCCTCCCTGACCAGGCAGGACGAGGACTGGAGTATTATGTGTTATTATTGTGGGAGGCAGATCAAACAATGCAGTCTCTCAAGTAGTCTCTGTCACTCTCATGCCGTTGATCTCCTGTGGCCATAATGCAAGGAAACTGGAGGTGGGAAGTGGAAGAGTTTCCTCTGAAGGAGCTGGACTCACCCACTGTCAACCATCATAAGAGAGGGCATCAAGAAGCAGAAACTGGCCTTAGCCCAAGGACAGTTTTCTTCTCTGGGCCTCTTTGCAAGCTGAACCTGGACTCCAAAAAAACGGAGTCATGCATGTGGATTTGCCATTGTTGGGACAAAAGAGTCCAGTTCCTGGCATAGGGAGACATGCTGGCAGGGAGTTGGCAGGCTGCACCAACCAGCCTCTTAGGGCAGAATGGGCCTCAGCCTGTGGGCTATGGAGACAGCCACATCTACTTGCCATGCTGTGACTTCATTTCCTGATGCTGACCTCATGCCCTCAGTCAAGTCTTGCCAACAGTTGCAGCCTGGTTTCAGCTGCATTGGAAGTCATTAGTGAAAGGACAAATTCCCTTCCCAGTGGCCAGCCCAGCATTAGCTGTTGAAGGTGAGTGATCTCTGAGCTACCAGTGGAGTCGATGTGCAGGGAAGACATCATCCACATGGATCCAAGCAATGACAGCAGTAAGGACTGGCGGCTGCAGAAACCCATGAGAAATGCTAGCACCTTAGGAACTTGCTGAGATAACCAAAGGAGTTCTAAGGTAGGGACTGGAATCCCAAAGCATGGAACAGGAGGAATTAAAATATGAATGGAGATGTGGCCCCCATGAGACTTCCAGGCTGACCATCCTGGGGCATAAGGGTTGCCCAAATTATGACCACTCCCTTAAGGCCAGAACACTTGTTCGACATTGATGTAAGTTATAACAAATTCAGGGTGCTTGGATGCACCCAAACACAAGGACTCCCCAGGCTGCACATTCTCATGTCTACTAGAAAAGTTAACATCACTTTGCTGCCCACTAGATCCACAGACATGGAATTCTAGACCCCATCACACTGCACAGTTGAACACACACAATACCCTCACCAAATCACATGCTTGCACCTCACCAACCTTGACATTCCCACGAAGTCCCCACACACGTGCTAAACTCACAGCTCTCCCCTCCCAAAGGGGGTCACACTCTTACGTCTGGCCCCACCCCACTCTATCCACTGGATGTGTTTTGCTGGTTTATGTCAGGAGAACAAAAGTAATGTACGTTACTTTTTGGGATCAATGCGGCAAGTTCCAAATGATGTATGCGGTTAAAAAAAAAAAAAATTCTCTGCCCTGTGCACAGAGAATACAAACCATTATGGCTGAGAGAACTGCACTCGGCTGCCTATTTGCTGTTTGTTGACTGCTGTCAAATATAATAAAATGAAATAAATCTCTAGGAACAGAAAAATTAAGGCACCTAAATGTGCTATTGTTTTTTATTTTGTCCTGCGCTCATAAAATGGTACTTTTCTTCCCTTCCCGAGTGGTCAGATAAATAAATTAACTATAAAGTCTGAAAGAAAAACACATCCGTGGAAAAGTGCTCTGCAGGGGCACAGCCTCTGTTCTCACTCTGCCGTCTGCCCTCCCTCTCGGCTGCCCCTCCGTTGCTCTGCAGATCCTTGGGATTAGGGGCTTGGCAAAGGAGGCAGGTGGACTCCCATGGAGAGGCAGCCCACCTCTCCCTGTGCCGCCTGCCCCAGGGTCCTCCTCTGCCTGGTTTCAGGCGCCTTCTCCACAGAGGCATGATGTCATTCTCTGTCCAGTTTCCTTGGGGACTCAATTTCATCATTTTCTGTGTGCCCCATGACTTGAGTGGGTCTTCTTTTCCAGGAGCCAGCATCAGCAGCGTATCTTGGGCAGACTGCTCTTGGAAGCCTGCAAGCCTTGCTCGGTCCCCTTTGAGTATGAAATGCTGAGGGATATTACCTCCCCCATGGGGTTTCAGTGACATTCCTAATCCAGGAGTAAAAGCCGCAGTCCCTTGCCTAGAAGTGAATGACACTGAGTTGTAACTAACATTGCAAAGTCCCCAGCAGGATCAGGCTGTGGCAACCCTTTGAGGGACTTCCGAAACTCTCACCCTTGCATGGCTTCCTTCTCTTCCATGTTTTCCCCCCTCCCTTACCAGTTCCCTGGATGCCCTTCCTTTGGATGTCCCTGCACACACATCCTGGTGCAGAACCTGCTTCCGAGAACCTTCCCAAGCAACTCTCCAGTGGGCGGTTGGCAGAGAGGCCGAGGAGGCCTCCCCTGCCCATGCCTGCCCTACTTGACCCAGAGAATCCAGTTTCCATCATGGAACTGCCTGGAAATGCTTTGTAAAGGTTTCCAGTGATTAATTTAATTTTTTGAAACCACTAACCATGTGCCATTTACTCATTTTACAGAGGGAGAAACAGATCCCATTATCTTTGGAACCACACCAGGCCAATCTGGCTCAACTTTCATGTAACAAAGTTGTGAGTTGTTGTTCAGTTGCCACGGACCCCAAGTGGAAGGTCACCCCCAGATGAGCCAAGTGTGCAACCACCGTGGGTAACCTAAGCGCTGGGACTGAGGAGTGGGGACTGAATTAAGAAGCGGACATGAATAGTAGGATCCAGTATCCAATCAGATCAAGCCCTGGCATCACCCCATGGTAGGATCCAATCAGATCATGCCTCCTGTCATCACCTCATTACAAGATCTAATCAGATCACACCTCATTATTCTATGTTTATAAAACCCAACCCAGCCCTCAGCTCCAGAGACATAGTGAGTGTTTCCTCCTGTCTCCTTGCCAGTGGACTCACAGTAAAACTTTTCCTTTCTCAAAAACCTCTCTGTGCATTGGGCAGAGAGCCCATTGATTGCCCCTGTAACATCTTCATGCTAAGAACTGATGTCGAGGCAGCCTGTCAGGGTGGACCAAGGTACGCCTATGGGACAGAAAGGACACAGAAGTCTCCCAAGAGGAACGCCTATTGGGCATTCAACCCATTGGACAATTAGAAGAACCAAATTAAAAGAAAATATACCAACAAACGGCCTCATCTCCCAGTGCTGGAGAGATCTTTGCATGGATGGGTTTATCTCATCCCATGGTTCCTTTCCATCTCCATCCCTCTACTTATCACAAATGTGGGGAAGAAGAGCCTGGGACTCTGAGAAACAGGCAGGGCATGGGTGATTGAGGGCTGGGGGCCTGACACTGGCTCAGAAGAAAGACCTGGCTCTGGGCCAGTGGGAGTCTGAGGCAGGAGGCCTTTCCGGACCAGCCCTTCTATTGGGTTGAGCAGAACCAGTCAGCTCTCAGAGCAAGGGGAGCAGTAAAGTAGAGACCTAGCATGGAGCACCAGCAGGGCTCTGCCCAGAGAACTGGGCAAGGAAGGCTTCCTTGCCTTCTGTCTTCCCTCCCTGCAGAGGAAGCAAGCCTAGGCCAGCCGTGAAGTGCCCTTGTCAGAAGCAAAAAAAGAGAGACAGGTGGAAGTGACACTGCTGGAAACCTAGGGGACTTTCTTTCCAAGCCATCCCTGTCCTGTAAGTAATCTTCAAGTAACTTACAGAATGGGAGAGACTGAAGAGGGCCATATTGGACTTCCTAGTCATGTAAAATGCTATTGTTATTCCCATTTTATAGATGACAAAATGTAGGCACAGAGAGGTTCAATAATTCACCCAAGGTCACACAGCTAAGAAGTGGCAAGGCTAGGAGCCACTCCTCTCATCACGACAAAAGGATATCTGTCTCTTGCAGCTGGGCCACAGTCAAGACTCTCACAGACTTGGCATGCAGGAGACAGACCTATCTGTGCAGCCAACCCGTGGTAGAGTCATTGCAAGGGAAGTCCCAGTCCCAGGCTGCTATGACTCTGCTGAGTGGGTGGCTCCAGGAGGCCCAGGCCCTGAGGTCTGTGCTTAGGGACAGGGAAGGTCCAGCAGGGTGTTGAGAGAGGAACTATCTTTGCATGGGGCGGCGGGGAGCAGAAGGGAGCTCTGGACACGGGAAGGGGCATGAATAAAAACAGGGAGATGTGAAGACACAGGGTGAGGGCAATGTGGAGATGAAGATTGTTTCTGTTGGCAGACAGTGCTGAGGCTGGAAGTTGAAGAGTCCAGATCTTGGAGGGTTTTTAGTGCTAGGTAAAGGTGTTTAGACTTTATCCTGGTGGGGAAGGTTGCATCAGACTTTCTAATGCTGGGTCTTTGCCTTTTATGTGATCAGAAAATCAGTCTTAATCTTGCACAAGGCTCAGCTTTCTGTAACATATCCTGTGAAAGAATGCCCCCCGCCCCGCTCCAGCAAATCACCCGTTCCCCACCTGTTTCTCTGTGTCCCAGGATTTTTCCTGCATTTGCAGCAAGTAGAGGGGTGGAGATGGAAAGGAACCATAGAGTTAGATACACCAAAGCCATCCATGCACAGATGTCTCTAGCACCAGGGGTTGAGGCTGTTTGTCAGTTTGTTTTGTTTTGATTCTTCAGATTGCCCAATGGGTTGACTCATACACACACACACACACACACACACACACACACACCCCTAACCAAAGCCAACAACTATCCTCAAGACAGTGCCATCTAAAATACAAGAGGGGAAAGAAATATTTGCCCAACTGCTCCACAATTTGAACAGAAACTCTCTTGCGATGAAATTAATGATTCATAAGACCTTGAATGGCACAGTGGGTCCCCTCCTCCATCTTTCTGTTCTCACTTTGTGCCCCTTTGGTCCTCCTGCCTGTTATGAAAGAAAGACGTATGACTGAGCCACGCCTCCTGTGATAGGCACGATTGATTGACAAATCCACTGCCTTCCTCACAACCCACTCCCTTTCCACGTCTCACTGTCTACTCTTCCAGCCTCCCTTGCACGTAGCAACATCCAGGAGGCCCAGTTCTGACCAGCATGATATAAGAGAGGTTTATTGGTGGACTTTTAAGGAAGTTACATTGCTTCCTGATAAAAATAATGGGAACAAACAGAAAGTGTGCTGGCAGAGCACTGACTGCTTTGAATACAGATTTGATGCCTGGAGCTGCAATGGCCATTTTGCCACCATGAGGGAAAAAATTTTAAAAAATAAAAAATAAAAATAAAAAACACAGATGAAAATCTAGCAAGCCAGAGGTGAGAGAAGGGAAAGACAGAAAAATTCTGAAATCTTGATTGCACTGCTGAGCTGAGTAACAACCTGGAGACTTTGTGACAGTAAATGTCCTCGGTGTTTTAGACACAGTTAATCTGGTTCTCTATTACTTAGAGTGAAAAGCTTTCTCAACTGACAGACACTTCTTAATGGCCACTCTCTTACCTATGCAAAGGCCCAGCAGAAGCTCTGAAATTACTCCCCATAAATACTCCTTTAAGCTCGCCAAGAGCCATCTGTACCTCTGTCTGGAGTAAGGGAAAGACAGAAAGTCCCTGATATGCATATCCGGACTCCTTAACTAAGCTCTTTAACAGGAAGAATGCATTTTTATGTTCTTTTGTCTCCTCTATAACACCTAAGCTATATCTGTGCACATAGAAGGTGTTTAGAAAATCCCTGATGAATTGTGCTGAGCCCAGCGTTTGTTAGCTGTTCTTCTTAACAATTGCAGTAGGTTTCCATTTAGTGGTTTGTTTCTATGTCTCATTTCCCTATTATCGAAAACTTTCTTAGG